TGATCGCGCACATCCAAGCGCGTTTCTCACAAATGCGTTGAGAAATATGTATTATTATTAATATTATGTTTAATTTTCATGTACACTGATTCAAATAGTACCGTAATAAATCCAGTTTTCACGAGCGTATTCTCATTAACCGCTTCGAAGATTAGTTTCTCTGCCATTGGATATTGAGAAAGGCATTTTTGGATTAACCGATTACGCGTAACTCGTTGTGAACCTTGAATCGTTAGCGAACGATTCAATATTCGGTATGAGTGTTCTCAAGGAAACGCGAAATGGCTAATAATCAGGAAGACGCATGCGTTACCCACACACGTCAGATTTGATCCACGGGGCCGTTGCGAAGTGTCAATCCATAAACTGCAACTAGATGACGGACAACTATAACCGACTTGTTCACGGAGGAAATCGGGCAGTGTTAACTTCTGACGTTTTCTGACTCATTGCGGTACGTTCAATCTATCCGCGACGTCTGTAGATGTATTACTAATAAGTCGTTTGGCAGATTTATGATTTTACGCGAGATCCAATTGTGAAAGGTCAGGAATTTGGCTGGATTTGATCCAGCGACAGAAACGCCATGCCTCACTGCGGCAAGCGCTCTCCCAGCTGACCTACGAAGCCACGCTCGGAGCTCGGAAATTTCACATTTGGACTCTGTTGCCCACCCGTCCCACTGCATCACATGGAATCTACCAAATTATCCAGAGGACTGACCGCCCCGGGGGATTTCCGGAACAGTTCACGCCAGAATCCACTAACGCCACTGTTGAACGCAAAGTTCCGAGCTCCTGGCGTAGCTTCGTAGTTCACCTGGTAGAGCGTTTGCCGCGTTGAGGCATGATGTTTTTGTTGCTGGTTCAAATCCAGCCGAAGCTCTGATATTTCACAACTGTGTCCCATCTGTCGATGTGGAGGATCTCAAATGATAGCGCTCCCGATTCAGAGAACATCAGTTAAATTATCAGCTGGCTGAGCAACAGATTTCGATTAGAAAGGCGGTCGTAAAGGCGAGCTTGTTACTACCTAGGTGCCGAAGTTTGATATGTTAGAAAACCATAGAGAACAAGAGAGTAACAAAACTCAGTATCAAGTCTACCAAATTTTCGAAGTGCGGAACCAAATATATGCGCAAACATGGTCAAATACAACAGCGTATGTAATGGTTCAGCGATAAAACGCAAGCGAAAGTAAGGGTACGGACAAACAAAGGTTGACCAGCAGGAACTACGGACGGGTTAAATACGAGGTAGAAATGTTCCGCGGGTGGGTGGTTTTAAGTCAAGGTAACTCGTCAAAATGGAAGTTCGCTGGAAGAACTATTTGTCATGTGCAGTTCGAATGTAAGAGGAACAATTAAAGAAGGGAAAATAAACTGAGGCAAGGAGCGTTGCCCTCACTTTTCTATCATACGATCGTCACCACAAATTCAGAACGAGCAGCTACCTGAACACATAGTTGTGCCGGTTAACTCGTCTGTGCTGGCCACACCAGTTGTCATTTTTGGAGAGAGCGGTACCCAAAACATGACCCATGACAAATGCCAACTAGTATTGGGTAGGCGACTGAGACAATATGTTGGATCAACCGAAAACCTAGAGGATTTATGGAAACCTAAGTGGTGGTCAAGTTTTCTGTGAAACGTAAACACTAGCAGATTCCATCGGCGTCTACTATTAAGGCGTGCACTACGATAGTTGAATTCTAAGGATTGGCTCGGCGCAGTTTACTATTGCTTAACATTAAACTTTTTTCAGGATATTTTAGGAATCGCTGTTTACCAGCAATACGCGCGTAGCATTAGGGTGTAACCATATACATGAGGCAGTACAGATGAACGTAATAATTACTTACTCGCGCCTATGAGGCAACTCACGGATTAGAACATTGCAACAAAGTTTTACAAGTGCCTGTTTGAGGTGAGAACGTTGAGGCCTCTTGAAGTTTCAAAGCATGACAAGGGAAACAGGCCTGACTCTATTTGGTGCCTAGTTCTGGTTACTGCTATACCACCAAAGAACCGAGCCGACTTGCTATCAGTGCTGGACTTTTGGTGGTACCACTCTGGTTTCATAGAAACCCTGTGATGAAAGTTCAACCACTATTTATAGGACAAATAATGGAAACCTGGGAATGGACCAAAAAACTGAAGATCTGTGAGAGTTAACGGAAGTTGCGGTAAAACGCCATTATTAAGTCCATTTTCCATGTCTGAAATTACCAAGCTGACCACCAATCTATCCTGGGTTGGCATCAGTTCTAAAACTTTGCGAATAATGTAGTGACAGAACCACGTTCCGAACACTAAAACACCGATCTATTAAGTAGCCATCAGCACAGTATCTATCACTCTAATAATGCGTTTTTGGAGGTTCAGACCATTCCTCACACCCTCCTTAGTGACCTAGTAAATTCAACTATGTTCGCTTTTAAGCTGTTTGTTGTATTTATTTGCGCCACCGCACAAAGATGTGCACTGTAAATTATCCGTAGCTGATGGTTATAATGGTTACGAGGCAAGAATGTGTAACTTCCTTGAAGGTCAGGTCATGTTATATTGATATCGCTCAAGGATTTGGAAGTGAGTAAGTTTCATAATAGAATTGATCATAAGTATAAAAATAAGCATTTCAACTGACAAAGTTGCCTCGCCCTTGATCCGGTGCTCAGGTAAACCGTTGTGATGGTTGCCGTAGTAATGACACTTAAAAGACTTTTCGCCGTTAAATATACAATCTTCGTATCTCACCGTTCATCGTGATGAATAGCAAATAATTATATACAGGCTTTTTATGCAAATACTTGCATATTTTTTGTCGTATTTCAGTGGAGTTCAGTTTTGTGCTTCATCTAGTTCGATCGTTTCTGCTTTAGGTAGGGGATCATTTACAACGTTCTAAAAAGTTACTGGAAGATCGTGAACTTTCACACTTCAACCAACTTAAAGGCTGTCCGAATGAATACATGAGGGATTCCAACGTTGGGTGTTCTTGTTTCAAACACAGAATCGAGCAGTGGACGTTTGAAGTGTGGTAACTTGAGTGTGCATAGTATTGCGCACATGTGACATGCATCATACGGGCGCTTCAAGTACGGGCGACGCAAGAACGAAAACCGTGGTTTACAACGTGTCCAATGAGTTGAACTGACGAATTTTCAGTTGTTCGATTTTTGAGAACTTGCAGCCATAAAATGCGCACAAGCTTACCATCGACCTCAAATGTTGCAAAACCAATGCCAGCTTACATTTGTACTCCGCTCGTAAAGAAGAATTTTCGCATTTACTCAATGTGTAATCTTTTTCAAATGTGTATGTGCATGGATATACTCGTAAATTTATTTGGCATGATAAAAAGAAGGCAATAGGCCTTGATTTGCTAATAATCAAGCACCAGCCTCTGTGAAAGTAAAGTAGGCCTTATGTAAACACAAACCTCATGCTGGCAACCACTCGAACAAACTCAATACAGTTTTACGTAAATAACTGATAACATACTCAAGATGTTGTTAATGTAGTTCTTTTTGCGATAAACGTTGCGAATACAATACGATAATAACAGTTATTTACATGAGATGTTGCAGCCGTTTTTTGGATTGTGTAATGAACGGCAACAAAAAATTATTTTTTAAAATCTTACTATGTACGTTTACTGTTAACTGACTAATAAATTCACCCAATAAACAATTTATGAATGTTGACTAGTTTAAAAATGTTTCTTGCCATCAACTTACCTTCTTTAACGCTAACGCTGTTGTGATAGCAGGTGACGATTAACCTGCGAAGTCATTGACCGCATGAAAAACCATATAGGCTATGCTGAAAAACATGGTTGGCGGTGTTCGATTCAGGTTAGCCCGTCAAAACTATCGAGGCACGAGGAGGCCTGGACTTAGCAGTCACCGCAGGCGGTGCAGCGCAAGCCATTTGCGGTTCCACTCACACACCATGCATCCAGTTTGAACCCAAAAGAAATAACATCAGCAGGTGTGTGAGTGGGGCCTTTGTGTCCAGCCGATCAATGCTGGTTGGCCAATCGAATGGCTAGTACGAAAAGGAAACCATTATCTCCTAGAAAATAAACGGAGAGAGAGATTACAATGATAAGATCTAAACAACCTGTGGCACCGATGGTTCCCTTGCGTACCGCGCGCTTTCGTTCTCGGCCACGCAATAACTGCTCGTTGAACTCGCGGACGCCCGTCCGAATTATGTTCCTTCAAGCAGTCCGGTTCAACGCTAAGTCTTCCCAGCGATCGAAATCAATGTTACAAAGTGAACGACACACCTGCACAACACCTTAGTATCTCAGCCTTTGACCACCAGAACTTCGCTTACCTGATCTCAGTTGTCCATACAGCACCTGCTTTGGAATACAGTCATCACTCATTCATCGGACGTCATCCAGTCAACGAAGCTGATTCAACGTCAGCAAGGCTTCCATCCCGTTCATGTCCGCTCGTCGCTGTACCTTGGTGTTCGGAACCATGTCCGACCACCGAATACCCAAGATGCGTCTTAGACATTGCAAGTGAATGCGGCTCAGATAGCGCACGTTCCGCTGATACGATATCCACGTTGCACTGCCGTGCAGCAGCATAGACAGCAACACTTAGCGGCAGACATGGAACTTAATGCTCGGTTTCAGGCTGTGGTTCTTGTAAACACGTCATTCAAGACGTCCGAAAGCAACATTAGACTTCGTCACACGAGCTCTCAACTCGCGGTCCAAGGATAGATCGGTGGGTAAGATGCTTCCCAAGTAGCAGAAAGTCGCGCAGATGCAGACAACATCTCCATCAACACGGATTGGAGGTGAAGGTGTACAGACGGTACCTTCGCCCAGAGGAGGTAGAGAGAAAAAGTGCCTTACGTGTGTTGATGCCCAACCCGAACTTGGATGTTTCGGACGCAAAGACCGTGGCCAACCACTGTAGTTCGCCTTCGATGTGTACAAACAGCGCGCTGACATCCGCGATCAGAAGCATGCGCATCACTGAGGTATGCAACCGAGTTTGGGCATCGAAAGATCGGATATTCAGCCAGTGGCTATCCGTTCGGTACTCTACCTGAATGCCGTCCACCCCAGAGCCCTGAAAAGCGAATGCTAGCATGACAGTTAAACCTAAACTAAACAGGGCTAGGGCTAGCACACAACTCCGCTTCATGTCAATGATCATATCAAAATCATCACAATTCGATCCACACGATTATACTTTCGCTCTCATGCCCATATGCAACCATCTAATCACATTAACAAACTTATCTGGACATCCAAACTTACGAGGCACCGTCTACAGCGCCTCACAGCTCACTGAATCGAAGGTCTCCATGAAGTGCACAAACAGGGCATTCAGAGGATAGTTCTGTTCCCGAAATTCCCCTTGGATTTGTCCGGCAGAGAACACCCGGTTAGCCGTACTCCGAACCGCCCGAAATCCGCAATACTCCACAAAAACATTGGTCTCCAAGACATCCGTATTCAGCCTGTTCAGGAGAATTCTGGCAAGCACCCTGCCTGCGCAGCTCAGCAGAATTATGCCCGATAGCTGTCGGGGCATTGCTTGTTACGCTTACCCTTAAACAAAGGTACTATCACAGCATCCTTGAATTCATGTGGCATCACCTCCTGCTCCCAAATGAAGTAAACTAGCTGGAGCAGTGCACGTTTCATCGCCGGTCCGCCACCCCACAGGATCTCACCCAGCGGTCTATCTTCACCTGCAGCATTCCTGTTGCGTAGTTGACAAATCGCCCCCTGCAACTCTAGCAAATTCGGTGCGAGAGCAAGTGAAGGCTTGATGGCCTATTGCTGCAGACTGTTCACGGTCGCTCAGTCAACAGTAGTAGGGCAGGTTAGTAAGCCACTAAACTTTTTGCG